TTGTACTTTAGTCTATGCAAAAATAGTTCAAACATTGGAAAACAGTTAAAAATTTCACGCACCAGATCATGAAAGCTGAATTCGAAACTCTGGAAGGTGAATATCTTTATCCCGTGTTAATAGTTTACCCGCCAAAATTTTCAGGAGGCCGTAGGTGATACTCGAGAGCGCAGGAACGCTAAATTTGAATAGGCAAGGCTGAGCGTGAGCGAGGGGTCATTACCCTAAAATTTCAGCCTCCTAGACTCCATGGTTCCCGAGATATTAATTTACTTGTAAAAAACTTTCACGGAGAAGGTACTTGTTACCCGCGGGTACGGGAAGGCTGAATTTAAATTTGCCGCGTCACCCGTTGGCGGAACGTTGCCCTAAATTTTTAGCTTCCTAGATTTTGTGGTTCCCGAGTTGAAAGTTGCGGACAAATTGCTGCGAACACAAACACACACACAGACAACCCCGTAACAATATGCGTTTTGTACTGCTGTTACAGAGCACAAAACGCATAAAAACTGAGATGGAAGGTATAAAAAAAGACAGCGAGTGAGGAAAAAAATCATAATTGCAAAGCCAAAGAAAGCAAGGCTCTTATAGCGCATTCGTTATCATAAGTTAAATATCATTATTAATATCTCTATCACATCAAACATGGTTAGTATTCAGGAAGGTGTTTGTTTCATCCCTGAGCTGTAAAAAAAATCAGTGCAAATTTAATATCTACATACTAATATTCGCTCAACTACATCAAACTGGGGTTCTCAGTTAGCCGCAAACAGTAACCCATCTACCCAGATTTTTTGATGATTGATTTTTTGACGGTCAAAATTCGAAAAAGAAAAAAAGCGGATAGTGCGTAGAAGAAATAGAAATCTTAAGAAAAACCTTTATATATGAATCAGCAAATTTCAGTTCCGGTTGCGAGTCTGGATGCGTCAGAAGCTGGCTCACAATGGATGGGACAATTCCGCGTTGATAAAGCAACGATTGCAGGATGATATCAACTGCTTGTAACTGCGCATGGATACAGAGACAACGGCCAACTCCAATCTCTTCGAATATCATCCGTACACCAATTCAGTATCTGTTAATCGCTTCAACCAATTAATATCCTGCAGTTTTTCCTATACGCGGTATGTATAGAAGCAAAGGAATCTGCGATAGACATCGAAGGCCCAGTCAGCAACGAAATCCCGTAACGTAATTTAAAATTTCCAACTAGTTAGCCTAACGCAATTCTTTCAAAACAGAAATTCTTTCGATGGGGGCAAGTCTTGTTCGGTCTGTGTTTACAGCTAAGGGATGAAACACAAGCTGCATCCAAAAGTATCTTCAAAGTACATAACACTTAGACTGAATTTTTACCTCTTACTATATTATTCAGTATTTCCCCGACTCAAAACCATACAGCCGTGACTCGATTTATTTGATACAACTATGCCCCTCACGGAACTCTGTTTCCGCCTTTCTTTCCCTCACCTCTAGTTGGCACAGTAACTGTTGTACTGACGAGGTCCAATTGTGATTCTAAATTTGTAAATCACCCAAAACCGAATAACCTATATGTCCTAGTCCTTCCCTCCCCCGCCCCA